AGGCCTTTGAGTTCAGAAGGATACGCCCTGGGACCTGTTTGCACGTCTGCAAAAGCAACAAGTTCATTATGGAAAACATTGGGGCCCACAGCGTACCACTCTCTTTAAGTTTCCCCATGCGGATTCCTCGAGTTCCGTTTCGGCCAAGCCGAAGCTTCGGCTGGAGGCGTGCCCTCGCTATCTTCGGTGTCAACGTCTGCTGGAAGCTCCCCGATCTCCGCCTCGGTGTCGCCGGTCTTCTTTCCACCGAGCCGAACGCCCATCATGGCCCGCAGCCCAGACGTGTGGACGAACTTCTGTGGATGAACTCCTATTACTGGGAGAATTCATCTATTTGGTGCTCCATCCACAGTATTGCTAGGCTTAGCCTAGTAGAGTTTCTGTTTTTTGCGGGTACTTGTCCCCACAGAACTGATCTATCTTTGCACAGCGGACATTTTTTTGCGATGTCCGGGAACCGCGCGGGTTTTCTCCAATTCGATCGCATCCAGAGGTCCCCTCGGGCAGCATGATCTTGCCCACGGGGAACGGACTGATGCGGCCCGTCACGGTACGGTAGCGGCCGCAAATTGCGCAGAAGCGCCATGGGAAGGCGAGGGCGGGTGGAGATTGAGGGCAGGCTTGGGCGAAAAAGTTTAATCCAGCGGACCCTGAGGTACTTCTTAGAAGGCAACAAAAGGCGTCTGTTTAAAGAAGCGGTGTTTAAAGATGCGGTGTTTAAAGATGCGGTGTGTGTGTGTGTGTGGGTGGTTGGTCTTGTTTCACGGCTGAATGTGCAACCCTGGGTGACTGGCGCAGTTTCAGTGTTTGTTCTACACAATTGAATGGCAAGCATGCATGACTACTCAAGTAACCCTCAGTGGCTTGGATTGGTGGTTTGGATTTGGATTTGACCCCCTGCTTCTTGAGGGTAGACGGGAAAGCACTCCCACCAAGCCACCAATCCAAACCACCAAGTCGAGGGAAGCTGAAATTGCATCATATAAAGTATATCCTTGCTCGGCCAACAAAGGAGTCACACGCATCGGGAAAGCCTGACAAAAGAAGTCGCGTGAAAGCGAAAGGGTTGCAAACACAAGCAGCCGTCAACGTGTGCCAAATAAATGAGCCCGGACATTGGGGAGGACGTGTTTGAGGCTACCCTTGTTATGGCTTGTTCCGAGGGGGAGCCACTCGTTTTGGGCCATTCTGGGCATGTAGCGGACGACCAGAAGAGGTGGCTTCCTAGCACAGACATGGTCGTGCATAAATGTTGCCTAGCAAATGCAATTGTATAATTATACAATTATATTATCTTATATCTATTGTATGTTGTATGATATCATATCATATTCCGCTTGATTCTATTGTTTAATACGATATTAAGCTGCATCATAGTATATTGTGTTCTGATATATTATATATATATAGTGTCCATATTATACTATATTTTGCGGTGCACTAGTATATCAATATGTATATATATATGTATACATACATGATATGGCATATGTATATAGGTGTACAGTATCCTAACCTATACTAACGATTCTATTATGTTATGCTATGCTGTCCTGTAAAAGCAAAACTGATGTGTTGTGTTCTTTTTTTTTGTGCCAAAGTCTTATATCATGTGATACTTATATTGTATCACATCATGTCATATTATGTTGCATCACGTATGTCAGTATACTAGTAATATACCATGCTAATGCTATACGACAGTTTACCACATTATATTACACAATGCTTACTATAGGCTGTATGTTAGAAGCGTATGTCTCATTATATCATGTTGTACTGCGGTATGTTATGTGTTATTGTGATATGTTATGCCATTATATATTGTATTGTGTCATGCTGTAGCATGACATATTTTATGTATTCTGTTACATTCTGTGATGCTAGATGAGATTAATTGTGACTAGGATAGAATATGTAAGTTCATACTATTATGTTATGTATAATAATGTTTGTACATGTATATTACATCAATTTGGAGGACTCCTGAGCCTTTGCCTTTGTTTTCGTTCAATCAATCGCGGAAATCGTGTGGGATTCCATTCCAACAGAGGTGGTTTCCCCCACAAGGGCCTTCGTGGGGAAAAAGGTCGGCGTTTGGCACTTTGTGGTTTGTGCTCATGGTGGCAAGATGCTGGCAATGAGAAGCTTTGAGGCATTTGCTTGACCAACCCATGGAACAGTGGGGCGTGCCATGGTTGTTGTTACGAAACATTTTACATCTTTACTTATTGTGGTTTAGTGGTTGACATCCCCACTTAACTGCAAAAGCTCAATTTTTTGCTCCCCTTCCAACGTCAACCAAGATGCTGCTCGCGCAAAATGCATCTCTTCTTCCCTCAGGCGGAGAGCCGGATTTCCCACCTGACAATGAGATTTCAACTCGATTTCAATGCTCGAACTGCGCCCGCGCAGTCTTGCTGAATCAACGCACAGACGGAGAAGTCGGGACGCTACTGCCTTGCCCTCCAAGGGGAAGCAGATTAACGTGGAACCCAAAAAGTCACCATCTCTATGCAACTCCTTGTGAGGATAGAACCCATGTTTGGGCTTCCCAGGTTCCATGTTAATTTGCAAGGGGCGTTCCCGAGGTCAAGGCAGCTCCGATTTTTTCTAGATGCACTCCTTGCGCGCTGTCGAGCAGTAGCTCGCAGCTCGAGCACTTAGTCAGGAGGCGAGCAGCGGAAAAACAATCAGAGTCAGCTACGAGTAGGCGCTGAGCGCCATTTGGGTGTGGGTCAAAATTAAGCCACCTGGATTTGGACCGCAGGCTTTAATCTTTGGTTCCATTTACCATATTTTTGACCCACAGCCATTTGGAGCCTGTTGTGTTTCACCTGTTCGCCTCCCTGTTAGGACCAGATGATTCTGCCGAAACGAAGTTTTGCGGCAGCTGTAAAGCACCGGCAGGCAGCATGCAAAGTTCAGGAGCACATTATGTGCTCCCTTTGCCTAGCGGTGAGGAGATTCAGCCTTTAGGAATTCTTGCGGAGTGCCAATGTCGAGTCGGCGAACCATTTACCCCGAAGACAGCTGAGTGCGGTCAGTTCGTTCCAAGAATCAAGGTTGCAATAGTTTCCAATGAGAGACTATACCAGAGTGGGTGATCTGGGAAGCACCCACATGGGAAGGTGTAGCAAAAGAAGGGTCCTTCTTTTGATTTGAAGCCCACCATGCACCTATCACTTCAAAAACGATCCCCGAATAAAGTTGTTCAAATGGGTACATGTGTGCCCTAGCAAATTGTACTGCTTTCCTTGGGTCAAATGTGCTTTTCCTTCTGATTTAGTCAGGCAAGCATATGTTCATGTTTTTCGGATGTGGTCTAGTTTCGAATTGGTTGAAAATCGGCTCAGTATCAAGTTAGGTTTTGTTTTTAGTATTGGTCTTGTACTGTCCTAGTATTCCTGGACCTTCATTCGTTACATAGATTTGTGTTCAATGGGTGTTTCGTAAATTTGCTAGTCGGGCGTTTTTCGGGGGAACGGGCACAAATTTGGATTCAAGCATTTTTGGCTAATTGCGACAGCTTCTCTCTTCTCATATTTAGTCTGGTGCGCGAACACATGTGGAAACATACACGCAAAACGGGCGCAAATACCCGCAAAACAAGCGCAAATCCAAAACATGTAACAATTAGTATTTTACAAGAAGCCCGTGTTCATGAAACGAGCGTTTTGTTTGGGGAACGAGCACTTTTTGGATCATTGGGCGAAAATAGTTGCCCCGAGCATTTTTCTTTCGTGACACAAATTTATGTAGCAATGGAAGGTCCAGGTTAGTTTAGTATTGCTCCAGTATTGGTTCCCTGTTTAGAATTGTCCCAGTACCAGCCAATTCTAACATTTCCATCCTGATATGTGGATTTGGGGTCTGGGGAAAATATTTCGTATTAATAGGGTGCATTTATCAATGAGAGGAAGGGATTATACATTTGGAAGCTGAAGCAAACCGCGAGTCGAGGTCCGAGTTAGGCAAATTCTTGGGGCTCAGGGTTCCCCTCGGGTGTGTCTTAGTCTTCTTTAGAGTTGTGCTTGTTTCGTGATTTTCAAGGGAGTCCAAAAAAGACAAGCGCCATTTTGAGGGTCCCATAAAAACACACACACCAACTTGTCGGGCCATGTAGAGTGAACTTTCTGGTGCGGCGATCTTCAAGGGAATAAAGGCAACCCTGCTCAGGGTGCTTGAGGAAACCCCTCTTTGGGGGCGGCATGCTCAGAATCATCACCGTGGGTCTTAAATGAAAGCATTCTGGACGCGCATGCAGTGCGTGTGTCATGACAGTGTGGGTTATAACTAGTCTTCGCTCAAAGCAACTTTGTAGGGTTCAAGAATCGCGAAGGTCCCTGGAAGCTGTGCCATCCAATTTGCCCCAACCACTTCGAGCCCTTGAAGCACGATTGCTATGTTGCTTGGCCGCAGGTTTGGAAGCACAAGTAAGCTGACAGGCCTTTGGTGTCCAGTGCTGTTCACTTGTGCTCACTTGGCTGTGGGTCAAAACGCATGGGATCCCATGTTGGGGCAGGTGCACCACCCATTTTAGTCGAGATTTTAGTGGGGATTGGGATGTTCACTGGGGGTACGGGCTTTTGACCCATGGCCACTTCTCCACAATACCTTGTCAACTTTTTCCTTGAAGCCCTGGCCAAAAGTTGAAGCTGACATCCCGCCAGGGATTGAGAGCAGACATCAGACATCTGAAAGACCAGCAAGACTCACCTCAAATTCTCCACAGTGGCTGATCCCAAGACACCCGGCGCTGCGCAAGCGAGATGTAACGACGTGCAACGAGTTCGGTGCGTATCAAGTAAATCGCAGGATGCGCTCGTGAGAAGCAATGCATGTACCATGATTGCTGTATATACATGACAGGGGGCATCACTTTGCGAATGGAGTAGACGGCTAGGAGTGGGTTTGTCCTCGCCAATTCACCCTGTCGCTCTTGTTCGATCGGCCGCTGACTCAAAGTGTGTTGTGCAAATGATAACTAGAACATAACCAATGAACCGGCTTTGCTACAGCCTCATAACCCGGCCAGGTCAACCGTGGTCAAAACCCATCGCAGGAATTGCAGGTTTTGTGCGTGCCTCCACAACAGATAAGCCTTTGGCGTTTGGCAAGTTGACTCCATGCTGTATTCATTTCGGTTCACGAGGGAGGGAAAACCAATAGCAAACCTATCATCACGGCTGGGGGGGTTGGGGGGGATCCCAAAAAGCCGGTAATACGTTTTTAACGGTTTTAAGGGTTTCTCCCTGCGCCCGCGTCTCATTTTTGGGCTCTCCTAATTTCAGCTCACCAAGGGACCACTTGGGGCATGGCCTGCATTCAATCTGACCAAGCTGCCTCAAGACATTCCCAAGAGTGTGGCATGAACAGAGGTAAAAGGAGGCTCTCTCGGAATAGAGACTCATGTCATCTGCGCATCCGTGAGCCTGAAATGTGTGTAAGAGCTTGGCAGCGAGGCAATCCGAACTCGAGGCCGAAATCCCCGGTTTCACCCGTATTAGCAACTTCGCCGCCCTACTATGCCCAAAACCATGCCATAGGCGGAAAGGAGAAGCCTGCGGAGCGCCCTTCGGACTCCTTTCGGTTTGGAAACTCGCCTGTCCTCGGTTCATTCACGCTGGGTTCAACAATTGCCGCGGGCGTGGGTTGTGTTGCAACCTCACTCAAGGTTCCTTCCATAGGGGGGTTGATTCGGGCTGAGGGAGGGGGTTGCGCTGTCAACTCAGCAACTCTGCCGATGTTTGATTCCAGGTCACTCAGCCATTCCACTCAGGGTCTCCGAAGACATGTTTGTCATGGTTGTTGTTGGGTTTTACATTTTTCCCAGTTTTGCTTAGTGTGGTTTAGTGGTTGAAATCCAACCACTTAACTGCCAACATTTAAATGTTTGCTCCGCTTCCAACGTCAACCAAGTTGTACTTGTTCAACATGAATGACGAGGACAACACATTTGCTGATACCACGCCTTCTTCTTGAATAGCAGGCACTTCTTTCGGCAACACGTTGTTTCTGGTGACAGGTTCTTTGAGAATATGGCTATGGGTCAAAATTAGACCACCAGGGGACCGCAGATTTTGGTCCTTGATTCCATTGCCCGGGGTGCCATTTTGAGCTTTTTGGCGACCTATTTTTTTGACTCGCACCCATATGGCATCCTCCTGGCCATTCGGCGTGTCTTTGGTGCGCACGGCGCGGCGCTGGCGCGAGGGCGGACCTCCTCGCGCGAACTCGAAATCGGCTCGGATCGTGGGCAGTGGGCTGCACGCGGCCGATTCAAAAAGTTGAGCGGCACCGGGGAGGTGAGCAATTTGGGTGAGGGGTGATTGTCTCAAAAGGCCCCCTTTGGCTTCTAGTTAAAACCCAAAAAGGGATAGCTTCAAAATAATTGTAAGTCTACCGGGGTAGAGTAGTTCTCGTAACATCCGGGATTGCCGCTCTTGCCGGTTCAAACGTGGAATCAGCAAACTATTGCTGCCAGCATAAAAATTGGAACCTCAGAAGCACGAATTTCTCGCTCCTGGTCGGCTGGGTTGGAGGCTATGCAATTCGATTCGCTTCGCATCGGAGTCCAATGCCGAGGTCGAAATCTTCCCGCTAACAACTCCAGCACTGCCCGCTCCTGAGACGCAAATCTTTTCGGCGCGAGAATGCCAGAGGGCCGATCAGGGAAAACATTAGGGCCCCCCGTACCCCCAAGAAATGTGCTCACCCTTCTAATCCTTGATCCGTCTTGGGAAGATGTTGCTTGACTTTTGGACAAACGCCAAGATATTCTTGGTGGCAAACATCTAGTAATGGCTTTCAATACAAGAGCTCCATATGTAGAGTGCCACTGAAGGCCGGTCCCGGACATGCCACAGGGGCCTTGTCACATGCGTTCTCGTCTGCCCAAGTCGCGCCTCAGATCTGTTCTCAAAACGGATCCTTTTTGGGACAAGAGGAAACACCTGGATCGATCCAGATGCGATCGCCTTTTTCCAATGCACTTGACCATCCAACAACCAGGGGACTAGTGACTGAGAAAAAAAGCAACAACAAAAAAACAGCTTGGCGATCTAGGCAGCCCATGGGGCGCTCCCATTCGAGAACCCGTATGTTGTCCAGTTAGGGCCTTGGAGGTGAGCCTCGAAGCGTGCAGAAAGCCAAAGGCATGTGCCTTGACCTGGGCAAGTGTTTGTTTGGTTGAGGGTACCCTTGTTCAGAATTTGGTTTAAAGGAAAAAATGCCAGGAAACCCACCATTTGTTGGGATCCCAATGTTTTTGTTGTACATGGTTTCGCATGTGGGTGAGTAGCAGTTCGCCCATTTCCGATCATCCAGCTACACGTGTGACATGCGGGGACACCCATTTTACACCCGGACTGCCAACTTCAGAGGGCAAGTGGCAGTTTCATCAGAGTCCACCCACTGACGTGGGTCTACCTTTGAAGGAATCCAGAGACCTCTGGCCTTTCACATGATTACAGGATCCTGACTTAAATATGGTTTACG